GAATTAAGTAGGACACATAATTCACTTTCTCTACGAACTTACTAATGATGTCAATATCTTCCTTGATGTAGCAACCTTCTTCTTGCCTTTTGGTTTAATGCTAGTGTTAGCACCACTTGTTGATTTGAAGTTAGTAGGTTGTGTGGGAGTGTAAGTGACATTTTCAACTTGCTTATCATAAGTATTGCTAGCATATTTTCGTGAAACAGGTGTAGGAAAGTTCTCTTCATCTAAAATAGGGATGGACTTAGTAGACCCAAAACTAATAAAATTATCTGAAGTTAAGTCCCCTTTTGCTTTATCATCCCCTATGATAATTGGTAGATTCTCATAGAATACGAGAGGTTTGTTAAAATAATCTTTCAGCTTAGAATTGAAAGCTTTGTTACCCTATACATAAGAAAGCATAGTATACGTCTAGAATTAGATACAAATAATGTTAGGGGAAAATAAAATTGTAAAAAACATAAGACAAATAATACCTCAGACCACCTATCATATGAAACTTCATCCAATGTAATAGATTTGGTCTCATTGTCTCATCCATCATCACTCATATTAGCACAAGCTTGCATCACATATAATTGTTTCTTTAAGATCTTCATGCGATTAATAACATTTTCTTTAGTGAAGTCAAACTTGTATTTGTTATTAATATGAGCAGCAACCATGCTAAAAGCTGTCTGTTTGAAATTTTTATCGGGTTTGAGCTCATCCCTAGCCAACTTTGCAAGATAGGGAATGAGCACATCATCATGATGAGGTTCCCATTTCTTATTACCTGCGCCCTTTGAACCCATATCAGATATATTATTGCTTGATGTTCTTCTTTTCTTAGTAGCCATTTTCTTTTTTTTAGTGGGAGAATTTTCTTCCACTTCCTCTATGAAAGTCCTCTTTGTTCCTATAAGATCGGGAACATCCCCTCTGTCGAATGATGATGGTGGAACCCCACCACTACCTTGTGAACTATGACCAGGATGGAGGTAGAGGCTAGGGCTATTCAGCATGTTCATGTAGCTCGTTTGAGGATGTGAAACAAGAAAATAATTTCCTTCATAACATATAAAACCTGAGTAGTGTGCGTCTGAGTTTGGAAAAGACATAAACCCCATATTATATGCATTGGACTACCATTCACTAGATGGTGAAGGAATCATAGATTTGTTGGCATCAAGCTTTTTTGCACCATCAGCCATACCTATGAAATGCATTTACACCAATCATATATGAAGGGAAAATTGTATCATATTATTACAATGCAACAAAAATCCATCCACTGTCGGATTCATAAAACACACATAATTATCTGTCAGATTCATAAAACACACATAATTATATAACACAAATACAAAAAGTAACAAATTAGTACAAGTCTTAGACAAATGAAAACAGAGTTCGATTCTAAATACATTGCACACATGAAATTAGTCTATTCCATGTTGGCCTTCTTATTTTGATGATGATTTACAAATAATTTACATCTAATATTGTTTGTCTAGTATTTGTGTTTTATATTTATTCTAGACAAACAATATGTTGGAGGATGGATGGAATAGAGCTTCAACGATCATATCCAATAGAGGTTGGCGGAATAGTGGAGTGAAGCAATATACATTCAAGTTAAAGATACAAGTTCAAGCTTCTTCCGTAAGTGTACCAAGTCAAGCTTATTGAAGATCAAGATCAAGCTTGGGTAATTTAGTTTAGGTTTATATATTATGTGTTGGTACTCTAAGCTCAATCATATACACACATACACGTATTTGGTTATATATATATATATATATACACGATCATATCAAATGGAGGTTGGCGGAATTGTGGAGTGAAGCTTATGAAATTCAAATTCAAGATCTAAGTTCAGCTTCATCCGTATAGTGTACCAAGTCAAGCTTATTGAAGATCAAGATTGCTTGGGTATATTAGTTTAGATTTATATTATGTGTGTTCAATACTTTAAGCTCAATCATATACACACATACACGTATTTGGTTTTATATATATATAGTCATATATATAAATATAAGTTTTGATTTTCAAGTTTAAATATGAAACAAATACATATTTATATATATACATGTTTATTTTCATATGGTTAAGTTGTTTTGGTTTAGTTATGTAGATATGAAACAATATATATCTTCATATACACTTTTGTTTGTTTCATACTCTATTGTATTTAGAAAAATATTGTGTTTATGGATTAAAGACTTATTCACACTATTTTTATATCTCTTATAATGTCTACAAATCCATTCTAAAGTGTTTCCAAGTTGTTTGAACTCGTTTTTGAAAAAATCAAGTTTTTTTGTTCATGTACGTGCATGTGTCCGTGCATGTTTTTACAAAACTGATGCGTTTTCACAATTGGAAAATGCGATTTGAAAAACTTCTTTGTTTAAATGTTTATCTTCATATATAAAAACATTTCCCCAAGTTTTACTAATTTTGGAGTTGTTTTCTTATTTTCAATTGAATTTACAAAACCGAGTTTTTAGCAGTTTTTTTAGAAACTGTATATCTATATTCAAACATTTATTTTTATCAACTGGGAAGAGATATTTCAGAAATTATTTCTCTAACATATTTATCTACATGTCTAGAACCTTCCCTCAAAATTTCATGATTTTTAGAGTTGATTTACTATTTTTAATTGATTTTACAAAGTCAGATACGTAAAATTCCAGCATCTGTCAAAATCTGGAAAAGTGTGGTCGACCGTCACGGTCGACTGTGCTACAGTATGGTCAACCACCACGGTCGACCGTCAGTAGTCCACAGACCAGTTTTGTAGTTTTTCTTCTCACGATCGACCGCCGATGTTACCGTTGCACAGTAACGGTAACTTGCTGAATTTTATCTTTTAGTGGTTTTTGGGGGTTTTGGGGGTTGTTTTCTTCTACCCTATATATACCTCATTGCATTTATCATTTGATACACCATGAGAATATTTTAAAAGTTTTTAACAAGGGTTTAAGCTTGTTTTGTTTTTATTTAAAAGAGTGTTTAAGAAGCTTTTAAGCATTTGAGAGTTTAAGTTTGTGAAATCTATTTCACAAGAGCTTGAGGAGATCGTCTATTGGTGTTTGAGCATCCAATTATACTCCTTCGATCTCTTAATCTATTGAGAAGTTTTCTAAACTCTATTTCTAGCTCTTTTATATATATTTGGTTATCATTGTTATTAAGCTAGAATTATATTGAGTTTAGTTTTGATTTATTTCTCTTTGCTTACACACACACAACCATTGAGCTTATTGTATTTACATTTATAGTATATTTGGGTTGTGGGATTGTATCATTGAGAGTGAGCTTACATTGTGTTCTTATCTATTGTAGAGAACAAATCATTTGTTATATTATGAGATTGTAAGGTTTTCGGTGAGCTAAAAAACCGAGTGTGTTGTTGTAAAGTTTTCGGTGATCTAGAAAACCGAGTGAGAGTGTGAGGTGTGAACGTTGATCGGTGAACGTTAAAAACCGATATTGTGAGGTGTAAATATTATTCGGATGAGCATAGAAAACCCAATTGTGATAGTGAATTTCTCCCCGAGAGTGGGGAGCGGAGACTTAGGACGGAAGGTCCAAACTCCGTGATCATTTGCTTGTGTTTGAGTTTGCTTTGGCGTTTCATTTGTGCTTAGGACGGAAGGTCCAAACTCCGTGATCATTTGCTTGTGTTTGAGTTTGCTTTGGCGTTTCATTTGTGCTTAGTGTTCATTACATTCTTGTCGCCATCGTAAATTGCCTTATCACATTTGTAGATTGTTTATTTCACCATTGTGTTAGTTTATATATCATTGCATATATTTCATAGTATATCTCATTGCTAGGATATATTCATTTGCTCATATTGCTTATTCTTGCTTATAACATATTGTATATCTATCTTGCAAGAAGAATAGTTTGAATTAGTTTTAATTGGCATAAAATCGGATTAGATTAGTATAAGACCCTAATCATCCCCCTCTAGGGTCTAACATTCCAGTTTCAGTTGTGTCACCCGCGTGATGTTGGACACAATAATCTACCCACATTTCCTAATCAATTTGATCCCTACGATCTTTCCATTCATTTCTTGAATTTATTTGCTCTCTTTGAGTCTTGAGATTGAGTAAAGTCTACTAAGTTTTCTCCATCCTTATTTGCTAATTCACCATCATCAACTTCACTCTCCAGTCTCAATAAGGAAGTCATCCTTAGGATCCTCTATTGCAATAGAGTCATGAAGTATTGCACAAGCGAGAGCAATATGAACTTGTGTGCGAAAAGGGTAATGAGGTTTTGCAGAAAGAATCTTGAATCGATTCTTGAGTATTCCAAATGCACACTCAATTTTAGACCTAAGTGATGAGTGTCGTAAATTAAACAACTCTCTTCTATTATTAGGTGTTTTTCCAACATACTCTTTTAGATGATAGCGCACACCACGATAAGTCGAGATGAAACCAGACATAGTAGTATACCTTGCATCACAAAGGTAATACTTTCCTACATATTACATCATGAGAAAGTTAATAATTTCCTCAATTTAAAAAATAGCAATTTTATTACCATCATAGACTCTCAATCCATGAGGTTGTGGTCTTGAAAGTGCATCTTGAAGGACTCTATAATCGTTAGCTGAGCTCTCCCATCCCGCTAGCATGTACGTGAATAATTTGTTTAGGGTGCAAGCCGCAAGAACATTCTGTGCCACCCCTTTACGAACTCTAAAATGTGCTACAAGATTACCAGATAGCATAGCATCAATGTGTGTTCTATCTATCATTCCAATATAGTCCTATAAATGTAGACTGATTTGTTAACTTCAATTTTATTTGTAGTCTTTAGAGAGTTGTGTTGAAAAATTACCTTCAAGTAAGGATAATATCGAGGGTTGTTGGCAACCTCTGGTGGCACTTGATTTGGTACTTGTCGAACGTAATTGTTACGTAATTGACAAATGTCATACAAAGTATTGTTGAAGTATCTACTAATTGTTTCTCCCGACCTAATGAAGTTAGATCTTAGTAACCTATTTTTGGTTTTATGACCCAAGATGTTCAAGAATATTACAAGTTGTTCTTCAACCGTAATGTGCCTAGAGTCTTTAAGTAGGCCCTTTGTCCTCGTCAAAGTTACAAGATTGTCAAATGTAACTTTACACATTCTTAAATAGTCTTTACAACTAGTAGAATAACCTTTGAATATCCTAGACAATTGTGCAAATCGGTACCTTACATTCGCTATCTTTTCTTATCAAGGTACATGAGTGATACGCCTTCGTCTAGATTGTAATCTCTTTAGAAATGTAACCATCATCAGTAACACCGTCATAGCATCCCCAGATACAATCCTCATCATCATCTCCTCCTCAACATTATCCATCTACAATATCGTACATGCAAATAGAAAGTTACATACATAAGCATATATACATTAATAACATTGCCAAAATGAGTTTAACTTAAAAGTAATTATAGAAAATAAGTTTATACTTATCGAGGCAAAGTGTAACTTAACACTAGCACTAATATGATTTATTTATAAATTGGCAAATTGACACTAATAATCAAAATCAGTGCCTATTTTGAACTATCCAATAAACAAACGAGCAACATCAAATAATACATTAACAAAAAATAATACAAGGTTTACAGATAGGCATGTAATCATGATAACCAATGTTGAAAATAAATAATTCACTATCAATATTAGCACAAGCCAAGTGTATAGACCTATAGGCATGAGAATCTGAGAGGTCATGTAATAAATTTGGGCATATATGATTAAGAGTTGCAAACATATTTAAACTTTGACAATAAAATAAAGAATTTAACACCAAGATGAACTTCTTTACAAGAAAAGGCCTATATGGCTATAGAACCGAGAGATCATGTGGTAAATTGAGAGCATCACACATTAATATATAAGATCAACAAAAAATTCTCAAATTTGAGAATAAAAGACAAAAAACCAACATTGCCTCTTTATATGAAATACATATATATTGTACGGGGCAGATACTAATTTGTTAATTTTCATTATGAAAATACTATCACTAGAGGTTAAAGAAACAATATGCACTCATGGATTTGGTTTTGATCCCTCATAAAAACTTACCCACATCTGAAGGATTAGCGATATGCTTTATAGGCAAGAAATTTTGAGAGATTATGATAAATAAACAAAAGACAACATATTTCAATAGAAAATCAATAACAAGTTGCCAATATTAAAAAATTCAGTAATATTTGAGCATGAAATTGAACAATAATATATTTTAATTAAATAAAAAAAACAATCACAACATGAAGTTGAGTTAGAGGCGATTTGATTTAAAAAATCAATTTTTTCTTTAAAAAGGAAAATTTATCTTCCTATTTACTTTGATTTCAACTGTAGGAACCAACAGGGTCGGAAAAAACACAAATCTGAATGTTGATTCGCTGGAAAAGAGAGATCTTTAGGAAGATATGGAGACCTAGGGTTTTTTTCCCCAAATCTTAAGATGAGGTGCAAGAGGGAGAGGGAGTAGCAGCGATCTTGAAATATAGCTGATATTTTTCCTCAACTTTTTACAGATAAGAGCGAGATAGACGAAGCAGCGATCTAGGTTTTTTTTTTCCTCTCGAGAACAAGAGACAGAAAGGAGAGGAGAGATGAAATGGTGGCGCGAGCTGGAAGACCCACGAGAAGCTACCCGCTTATTGTGTCCCATCTCCTAATATTTTATTATATCACACCCCCTTTTCCACCGTTTCACTCCCACTTCCAGACTCTACCTAAGGATTTGTTTTCCATCAACATTCCAACCTTTTCTCTATTTGTGAGAAGAATTTCCCTTTTTTTATTTTGAAACAAACACAATAATAGGAAGTGTCTTTATCATCATTTGGTTTTTTACGGACAGCAACAGTCTCTTTCCACTTCTTTCCAACTTTTTTTTTTAAAACGAACACACCCTAAATTCCCTTTAACCCCGTTGAAGCCCAAACACGCCCTTGAAGTGCAAATAATACTTCTTAGTTATTGTCACCATAAAAAAGCCCATATAAAACCCAAAGCGAGCTTTTATCACTGTTGGTTCTTCCGGAACCTTCCAACCTCGCCTCGGACCCCCCCTTAACCATCAGCAAAATCTCAATCCGCTCCCCAACCGTACAAACCCTCGGAAAATAAAAAATAAAAAATAAAAAATAAAACTCTTAAATCGACGACATCAAAACCCTAGAAATCTCGGTTTCAGCTACATCGATCTTCAGTAATGGGGGTGGACTACTACAAGCTCCTGCAAGTCGATCGCAACGCCAAAGACGACGACCTCAAGAAAGCCTATCGCAAGCTCGCCATGAAGTGGCACCCCGACAAAAACCCTAACAACAAGAAAGAGGCCGAAGCCAAATTCAAGCAGATCTCCGAAGCCTACGATGTTAGTAACCGCTCCCTCAATCAACCAATCGATCCTTTTCTTTTCAGATCTTTAACCTTTGATCGATTTCGTTTAGGTTCTAAGCGATCCGCAGAAGCGAGCGATCTACGATCAGTACGGCGAAGAGGGGCTGAAGGGCCAGGTTCCGCCGCCATCTTCCGGTGGATCGTCGTTCTTTCCCGGTGCCGGTGGTGGCGGGGCCGTGCCTAATGTGTTCAGATTCAACCCAAGGAGCGCGGATGATATTTTTGCGGAGTTTTTCGGGTCAGCAAGCCCGTTTGGGGGGATGGGAATGAGGGGAGGAGGGTCGAGATTTCCCGGAGGAGGGATGTTTGGGGAAGATATGTTCGGGTCAAATTTCGGTGGTGGAGGGGAGGGTTCGATGCATGTTCCTTCGCGGCCGCAGAAGGCGGCGCCGATCGAGAACAGGCTGCCGTGTAGTTTGGAGGATTTGTACAAGGGGACCACCAAGAAGATGAAGATTTCGAGGGAGATTGCGGATATGAGTGGGTATGTTTCCAAATTCTATTGATGGTTTCATTAAATTAATGTTTAGCTATTATCTTTAATTTGGATCTGTTTTGTTAAGTTAATTGGTAATTAGGAATTGTAAGGAAAGTTTTGGACACAATCAGCTTTGTGGAGGGTTAATTTAGAAGTGGTGATAACTAGACTACAAATCTCGAACTACTTTTGTATTACTGGAAACAATAGAAACAAAAGTGCAGGCTCCTTTCTCGTAAAATTTATGAGTCATTAAGTGTCCCCCACTTTTGTTTCTATTAGTGCAAATGTAGTTTGAGGTTTGTAGTATACTTACCATTACCTTAATTTATTGGTTTCTGTTATTCTGATAGCTGCAGCGGCCAGTGTATTATAGTGGGTCAATTACACGCAAGGTATTAAATATCGCATATCAAGGAAATATCTAACAACCAAACTGCATATTGGATTGTGGATATTAGGGAAATATCAGGGATATGTGGTTAATATCGGAGTGCTGTATCAGATGATGTGCATTTTTAATATGATGTCCTAAAATGTAATCTAAACATACTTAATAAAATCTAAGCATACAAAAATGTTAATAATATACATTAATCAACCTTTTAAACAAAATAAAAGTCCAAAAATGTCACTTGATATATTGGGAATATCATGATGTTGCCCGAACATTGCCAAATGCAGTAAATTATTTTGTAACAAGCCATGTAAAAGGACATATAGGCTGATATATCGGCCACTTTGGGGATATATCGCCCAAAAATTACCAAAAAGCGGTAAATGATATTTAGATCATATTATTTTGTGGAAACTACTGGAAAGCCTTATGAAAGGATATATAGGTTGATATATCAGTCCATGTCGGGGATTCTAAAACAATGGATTACATGTAGACATTCTGGGATTTTTGGTTACTTTTTATATGTCCTGAAGTGAGATGAAGGATTGAAAGAGTATGGGGTGATGATTTTTCATAGTTTCTATCGTTGTCCAACATCTTGAAACCTCCTCTGGTCATTGTGACTAGTAGAAGTGGAAGGGATGAGTTATTCAATTACCAATTGGCAACTTGGGACTGATGAGTGTTGGAGAACGTTAGAGAGTAATCAGCGTTAGAGTAATTAAATTTCCAATTGGCAACTTGACACAATTTCCCAGTATTTATTACTGTCCACAAAGCTTTCTTTAAGATATTCCTTCTCATGAAAGGGTATGCATGATCATCTGCATGTGAATGTCTTCCCCTGGTAGCTGATGAAAGTTCATTTTTTGCCTACTTCCTAAAAAAGGCTTCTGTGCCATGGTATTATGATGAAACAAGGTCAGTCTGCCAATGTCTCTGGGATATGTTTGGACACTGGCTGGAGGTCATGCGTAATTTAGCCTTTTAAGGTGTTGCTCTTACTGATTTCTTGACGCATGTAAGGAATTCCTTATGCAATTTGTCTTGTTACGGCCTGAGTAAAGATGCATGCTCTCATATAAGCTTCTGCTTTACAGTAGACAATTGAGCAATGTAGGAGTATTTTTGCCGCTTAATGTTCACATGAGGAAATCAGCAGTATATCTGTTTTATTACCGTAATCAGAGAAAAAAGGAGCAATATATCTGTTTTATTGCTGCATCTATACATCCGTTTACTACTTCAGTTGAACTATGATAGGCAATGTGTAAATTTCTAGGTCATAATTGTAATAGAAGAATGATTTGCACAACCATGCAAATCTGATTCAAAACTAAAGCTCGAAAGACAAATTTAGAACAAGCCATGATTTTCTATAGGAAAGGCCGAAAGGGAAAAGAAAGTTGTACTAGATTGGTTTTATTGCGAAAGCTGGACATATTTGTCTTAGTGGACAAATTGGCAGCTAACTGATATATTGGATCTGCTTTAGTCTTGGTTGACAAGAGACTTAATGTTTCTATGCGTAGTCCTCTTGATTTTAGTGTAATCGGATAAGCTCTTGTACCCTTGTCCTATATAACTTGTAGGCCATCCATTTAGAAGTTGCTCTTATTATGGTGTGTGCTCTTGTTACTAGTCTTATCCATGATGACCAAGGTAATCCATCTTCTCCCATAATCCAACTTTATTTAGTCTACTTCAATACCATCCATGTTTTCATGATGAAATTATCTGTTATCCCATGTGCTCTCATACACAGAAGGATTACTGCTCTACAATGACTGGTTTTCCTTTTTTCCCCCTCAACTACTTTGTGCTTCCTGTTTCCATATCTTCGGAACTTTTGATCTAGTTTCTTTGACTATTTCATTTGGATTGTTTGTATTTGCAAGCTCTCTTTCACACTATGGGTAATATTGCTATAATTTGTATTTTTGTTTTAAACACTTTTGAGGAGAAGTTCAACCAAGTTAGATACTCTCGACATGTTTAAATATTATTCTGTTTGCTCTTGCATTTAGTTTTCTCCATCTTTTACCACATGGATGCTTGGTAAAAGTAAACTGAGAAAGTCTAGACTCTTTCAAGAAAATTGATTGTTCATTCTTGGGTGTTTATTGTATATGTTATTGTTCCTGCAAAATCTATCCCATTTAGTGCTACTTGATCCGTGTGTAGGGTGCTTGCTGCTTTTTGAAGTTAATTTTTAAGAATTTAGGCATCAAATTATGTCATATGACTAATAAAATAATTGTAGCTGAAGTTTGCATTACATCCATGATGTATTTAGCTTATCTTTTTTCTTGCGCCATATATGACGTTGCTATCATAGGGTAGGGAGCCTTTTATATAATAGATTTGTTCTGGAGAACATGATGCACCATCTATATACTTCAGAGACCATTCTTACGAAACATAGGATAATACAACTCGGCTATGCTGCGACCCAAAAATTATGTAATACATCTTTTTAGCTAGTTTTGATAATTTAATTGGAAGTTTACTTTTTAGGACATCTATGTTCCATGTGTTACAGAATGAAACAAATCATAAAGTGTTTTCTTCCTATCTAAAGGGTTTTATATTACATTATCTATTTGAGGGATAGGACTTAGTTTATTTAGTCTATTTGAGGTCGCATGGTACGGTTTTATTTGTTTTTTCTTTTTTTATTTATTTACAATGTTCAGCATGTAGGACTTGTTTACTTAGTCTATGTGAGGGCACACGGTAGGGTTTTATCTGTTTTTACTTTTCTTTATTTATTTGAAATGTTCGGCATGTAGGATTAGTATGTAAGAATCTTGTAAATCTTCTCAGATGGCAGACAAATGATGAATAAACGCGAGTTTTCTTTTGCGAAATCTCCCTGCATGTTGTTGCAATAGCCATGTAAGTTGACTGGGTGTGACCCAAATCTTCAGCTTTCTTTTGATCTGTCATTATATTATTTCCTAAATCTTAATCCTAGATTCACATCTTTCCTGCATCTCTTGTCGTATGCTGATTGCCAACCGACCGGCTTCATTGGTCCCATATTGCCAATGATACCCTTGACTCTTCTTGTATGCTGCTTCCTCCTGAAATGTCACAGGCTGAGCAACTTAGTCGCTACCAGCAGCAACAGTCACAACTCCAAACTTTGCCTGACTTCTCTAGTTGACCCCTGATTCAGTCGGTGACCCCCAACTCTGTTGAACTCTGTCGACCGTTCATCGCTCTTTGTCAGCCATCGTCCAGGCTCATTCTCTGACAAAGGCCTCCTGACTTTGTCAACTCCTAATCTGGCCACGTCAAAATCATATGACCCCAATTAGGATTGCCAAACCTCTTAATTGACCAACCTCTTCAACTGCCACTCCAAACTCGTCATTGACCAGTCAACCTTGCCAATAGCTTCTCTGCCTTTATCGACATTTTGCTGCCCTTGCTTAACTATTGGCAATTGAGATCAGATCCGATCAGCCCTTCAGACTTCAGATTTACTTCGTGTCGCCTTTGATTTCTAAATAAATCACTAGGAAGCGTTGAGCCCAGTTGTTCCACATATTTCTTATGAGATCTGCAACCACCTGATACAACCATCTGCAGAGGGGGGGGGGTTTGGATTTCAGTTTACATCGATCTGTAAAATAGTGTATGAAGTTGTACACCCCTCTAGGTGAATGCTAAACATCTTACTCACTTTTAATTTTGTATTTTATGAAACTTCTTGTAGGCTGTCTAAAAATCACAATAGATAGTTAATCCCCCATCAAACACCGATGACGGAAGTTACAATCTGACGACTTCCAGAAGGCTACAATTTGAGGACTTTCACGTAGAAGGTTACAATCTGACGACCTTCACAACAACTAATGAAGGCCCCAATTCAAAAGCATTCACAATCAACATCGGGAGTTACAATCTGACGACTCTCATATTCTCAAGGAGCCAAGACGAAGATTACAAGAGGACGATCTGTGCAAAGCTCTAGCAAAAGAGACTACAAATTGACGGTCTCTTCATATTAGAATGCAGATATCTCTCAAACCGTAAGGAATTTGGCAAAACGGAGGAAGCGAACCAAAGCCTTCGGCTCAGGCCAACTGTGCGTTTACGGCTCAACTGTGCGTTTATGGGCTCAACTGTGCGTTTTTAGCCTGAAACAGGCCAACTGTGCGTTTACAGGCCAACTGTGCGTTTACGGCTCAACTGTGCGTTTATGGGCTCAACTGTGCGTTTTTAGCCTGAAACAGGCCAACTGTGCGTTTACAGGCCCAGCTGTGCGTTTTCAGCCTCAGCTGTGCGTTTTCAGCCTCAGCTGTGCGTTTTCAGCCTCAGCTGTGCGTTTTCAGCCTCAACTGTGCGTTTTCAGCCCAGCTGTGCGTTTTTCAGCTCCAGCTGTGCGTTTTCAGCCCCAGCTGTGCGTTTTTCAACCTCAACTGTGCGTTTCAGGTCCAGAAACGCACAGTTCGAGCCCAGAACGCTGTTTTCAGCGTTTAACTCGTTCAAGCACGATTTGAACGGTTCCAGAACCGTTTTCTCCCCAAGATTTTAGGGGATCACTACCCTATCATGGAGAGATTTATGGGGAGCAGTTAGACCCCATTAAACCCTC